TAGCGAGGCAATTTGAGCAGAAATATCCAGAGTCCTGAGGGGTGTCACGAGTAACCAATACAACAGAGGAATCGAGGTGAATGTGCTGTATCATGCTGAGGAGGCGAAGTGCTGTGCTGTTCGTGATTACAGCGAAAAGACGCATTTGAAATAAGGCTGGAAGCCGGCAACCAGCTGCCGCGGCGCCAGAGGAGCATTTGTCGCGTTTTAAACTATTTTTTTTCTAAACGATCCTAATACACAAATTCTATTCACAATTCACAACGCCTTTACTGTCGTTGATTAAATTTTACGCCCAACGTGGGGCTCGAACCCACGACCCCGAGATTAAGAGTCTCGTGCTCTACCGACTGAGCTAGCCGGGCTTAGTACTATTGAAAAGCTTCTTTTGAATTCACCTTTTCAAACGAGTCTTTTTTCCATCTAGCCACTGGGTGTCGGTCCCAAGGACTGGTAACCACAGAGGAATGGCGTCAGGAAGGGCATCCGGCCATAAAAAATATCTGCATAATTATATTGCGACCCCATATAAGAATAGGACAAAGCTACAGCAAAAAACGGTATATTTCCATAAGGTTTGTTATCATCTACCTGGTTTATGTAGCGATTTCAGAGGAAATGATAACAGGTAAAATTGTGTGCATGTGTGTAGCATAAATTCAACTAGCCTGTTAAATAAACACATCCATAACAATCACAATATCATGTGGCAATTAGTACGGTATCAATATCCTAACAGTACAAAATAAAAAATTCAGAAATCCTGTTACATTAGACCTTATGATAAACACATCCGCTGCAGTCACAATATTCGACAATTAAATACGGAATCGACACCAGTTTGACAAAGTGTAAAGACTTCTCGAGAGTGATGAGCTTGCAACAAACCGTGCAACGAGGAAACCTTACAGGGACAAACAGTATGGAACTGCACCTTCCTCCAACAGCCCCTTATCTAGTCTAAATTCAGTATAACATTTGAGGTTTGTGGTCGAAGGGAATGCGTGGCTGCATGGTGCGCCGAAGTTGTTGTTGGTGTTGTTGTTGTGCCTCCTCCATTCCTTCTTTTTCTGTTTATTATTTTTTCTTTTTTTCTTTTTCTTGTTTCTTCCTAGTCTTTTTTTTTCCTTTTTCTTTTTTTTCCTCCTGCTTCTCCTTCATATTCACAAACTTCTTTTTTTGTTCTTTTTCATCTTCATCATCCTCTCCTCCTCCTCCTTCTCATTCTTCTAATTCTTTTTCTTTTCCTTTTTCTTCTTCTTACTCTATTTTCTTCACATATTCACAAATGACTTCATAATGCAAAACCCACTGTGAAACTCAAACCCACAAACATGATAAAAAAGTCGTTCATTTTAAATAAATAATTTGCAATAGCTGTAACAAAGACGAATATCATCCTTCCTAATTTCGACTATGTATCGAAGAATTCAGGGGAAATAGAAGTGAACCAAAACACAAAACGATAAAGCTAATGACTGATACCTGATGCCCCTGTTGAAGTCTGTCGTATTATTTGCAAAATAACACAATCATTCAGTATTTCAGCCATGCATTTCTACGCTAAAGTATAGAAGGCCCACCGGTTTATCAGCGGAAATCATTCATGCCAGTTGCACAGGATCATAATTTCTGTAATTAAGTCATTAAACTGAATCACTAGAGGTACATTAAATATTCATAGAAAATGAATCCATCGATTTGCATGAAATTTTCATACAAAATCACAATTTGGGAACCTATATCCATACGTCTTTCAAATCAGAGATAATATGATATTCATAACTAGGAATACAAATTATAATGAGATTTAATGGAAAAAAAACACTGCCATCCAAAACGAATTATACGATCCA